TTCTATGATTCTATGATTCTTACTGTTAGCATGTTAATTAAAGGTATAATGATACTGGTAGTGAATCCAGGTGTTCTTGGGATTCCCTATTTAGCTGGTTGCCAGAAAATTAAACTGGACAAGAACAGAGTTATAACTCTAGCCCTGCAAAAATACATATCTGACTTGTTGTGGTCTGTGTTAAACAGCAAGTGAGCCTCAGAGGTTAACAGTCCCTTGCAATGTAATTAGAAACTATTAAAGGGCAAGACATACATATTCAGAAAAATGGATCCATAAAGAAAGATGGGAACAAGGCCATAATGCAAACTGTTAATGCAAATCACTGTAAACTGCCTTACCTTTACTAATATTTAGAAATCTTTCATATGTATATGCTTTACAGTGGGCTGATGTTCAAAATCCTTCTAACGCTACTGCCTTATAAAGAAGAACCGTAACTGTTCATTCTACAAATATGTTTGATCTAACATACATGTGTATTTATTACTTACGGTTTGTCTAAACATGCAATATATGACCCGAGCACATAAAAACAGAGACGAGTTCTAAAAAGCTTGCATATTCTTAAATTTGATACAAACTATCTTTGCATTAAGTAGCTATCTTTTTGCATAATGAACACAACCTGCCAAAGGCCATAACAGCACCCATGGTATTTATAACTGTGTTGTGTATTACTGATGTAAGAACTAATATTCAAGAAAAACGTGGACAAAAATGAAGGTCCTTCCTGTAAATCTCATGAAGATCCCATGCAGAATCAGGCAGGTTGTAAAACTGCCTGCATTGCAGTCAGCCTGGACAGAACGGGAGGGAAGGGGGAAAAGTTTTGATCAAACACAGGTGTTTGATAAAAAATTAGGCTTCCTAAGGAAATAAATTACAAGGCATTTATGCCTGCTTATTTAAGATACCTCTGTTCTTCTGCTCCACAGCCAACTGTTTTTCAAGTGTTTCCCTCAGTTCTCGTTCCCTGAAGAGCTCCATCTTCAGCTCTGTCTTTTCCAGTTGGACCTGTTTCTCTTGAGCTCTGGCATTGTCTATAGCAACCTTTAGTAGACCCTGTTCAAAGATAAAGTTGGATAATGTTTGAAGAATGTTAGAACAGCTGACATAATAAACAACTTCTGTTATTTTTCCTTGATTAGTCTTGTGAGATACTACAAATGAAATAATCCTGTTATGGGGTCAAAGCCTCCAAATTATCAACAGCAAATTTTTACTGGAATTAATTTTAGCAGGTGAGTAAAAACCTGTAAAAAGACAGGAGTCAAGTTTTCCCATAAACCACAAAACTCATGTTTGACTGTACATAGAACTAATGTGAAAAAGTTATAGGTATAGTTTTATTCTTTGTCAGATAAAAGAGACAAGCAGCCTATATAAAGCACTTGCACCAAAACAAAAAGCTGTCCCGTTGAAGGAGAGCTGGCAGTCTCACAGTCAGATCAACCACAGAACAGCAAATTCAATCTCTATCACAACTCAAACCAACGGAAATTACCAAAGGGAGAAAGGTTCTTTTAAAGGCTTGCCATTTGGCTCCTTACTGTAGTTAATTATTATTACTTTCAGATATTTTCATATTTCATGGGGTTTCCAAGGAAGATGGGGTTATTGGGATGCTAAAGCAGAGGACAGTCACAAAGCAGGAAGATATGTGTCTTAAAAGTCCATTCCCTGGCCTTGTACAACTCTCACAGTAGAGAACAAAATGCATCCATCTCTCAATTTCTTGACCTGGGATGTTTGAAATAAATTCTATAGTTTTTTGGTGTTATTGTATCAGGAAAGAATGATTCAGCATATTCTAAACTTGTCTTGAGAATTTCAATTTCACAGTTCCTTCTTTTCTTGCAAGGAAACAGGAAGAATCCAGCACAGCTAATAACTAGACAGTTCGGACACTGAGACAGGGTATGAAAAAGAGGAGGAGAAACTGAGCTGAAATAGATTAACATGGAAAGAGGAAAAACTCTCTTTTTTCAGAAGCCTGGCCATCTCGCTCTTAGGGTCTACACCTGAATCTCTCCTCTTGAAGCCATCATAACAGAATAGATAATTAAGCTTGGATATTCATATCTGAACCTCCATGGATATGAACCTAAGTCTTCTGTATCCTAACCAAGTCTCCTGACAACCTAACTTTAGAGATATTTTGACCCAAGAGAGATTTAAGTACTGATATAAAGCAATAATAGGTCCCAACAATAGGTCCCAACAATAGGGACCGAAGAGTACTCCCTAGTAGCTTGTAGCTCTGCTAGGGAAGCATTCAGCTAACAGAGAAAAGGTTCTCACTCTAAGGCCTGGTTTCAGAACAATCACACTACAGACGTGAAATCATATCCCCCGATGCCCAAGAAAGCTTCCTCACCCCTCAGGTGCACTACTTAAATTGGATTCAGGGTCGCGTGTTTTTTCACTAAAATTGTTTTAAATATCTCCAAAAAGGAATGGAAGAAGAAGCCAGCAGGATGATACTTGAGAAATGGAAAAAGTATTTTTCATGAGTGTTAGTCTGCGCATATATCCCACTAGTTTTCCCCATGTCAATGCTTGCTTTAAAATTTAGGTTGTACAAATTCCTCTTTTAAGTCTGTTTTCCGAGCCTGTTAATTTTCAGTACTCCTCATCCTCACTCTTAACTAAATTGCTGTCTCATACAGGGCTCAGTGCTTTTCAGCTCTACTACAATCTATTAAAGTTCACAGGAGCCGAAAGAACTCAACACCTTTCAACTGCAAAGCCCAGATGGTCACCAAAATTATATACACTACATAAATAAAGAACCATATTTGAAAATATCAAACAACAGTAATACAACAAATGTGCTTACAAATATGTTTAAAGTTTTAAGAGTTTTCTTTAAAAGAAGCAAGTATTATTCTAAAATAGGTAAACCACAAATTTATTTTGGGTTGAATGGTAAACCTGGATGACTACTAAAGAAAATCACATAAAGCTAAATAGAAAGCTCTACACACATGAAAAGTAAAATAAAATTTGAAATATTTGAAAAGCCTTTCCAATCTTTTCAAAAAGTTAATACCTACTGGAATTCTGTTCCCTTCCTCTTGCCATATTCTCCTACATGAACAACCATCATAAACTGTGTTTTCTATATGGGATGCATTTGAAATATTAAGACATTAAAGAAGGAGTTGTTTATCAATACCTGCTTCTGGCTTACACTTAAACTCTACAATATTTTAATCTTCTCCATTTTATCACTTACTGGAACATGTGGTTCATCCAAACCACTAATAAACTAGATCAAGTAAAGCTACATGAAGTGTATTTGTTGATGAAAAGTGTATTGTCAAGTAAGTTTAAATCTGCAAAGACCCTCCTCCCAAATTCTTACAATCTATCTTGTTTAACAATAAAATCGAGCTGCTAAAGCAACTGCCATCTTTACTCAATTCAACTACATTCATGTACATGTTTCTTCTTCATCAGGAACAAACAATTAGTAACAAATGAAAGAGATCATTACATCAAGTGCCCTTTTAGATCACCCCAATTAAAACTTTAGTTTAGCTGTATTTTAATTCTAAGATACCAAATTCTAATTTTCTGCTCTGATTGCTCTTGTTGACTTATCTTTGAAAGATGCACTCTCAGTGCAAAGCCTAGAGATTATTTAGCAAGATGCCAATGTTGGCACCACTTAATGTGTTGATTGGTTGTATTATCAGTAGCAGTTTAAAATAAATTACTATTAAACTATTATTGTCCTTGGCTGACAAACCACAATATTTTGGTGTTCTTTAAATATGAAACAATCATTATGAATAAACATAGAGAATAATGCTAGAGTGTAACACTGATGTGTGTAATTTCATATTAAGAATTGCTGTAAAGTACGAAGCTGCTAAAAGCATATTACATTTTCTATTGAATTTCTACACCACACTTCCTCCCCCAACCTTTCATTTTTTTATACTTGCTGCTAACGTAGCTAATGGTAATACATTACCTATTGCTGCTGATTATGTCTGAAAAATATTAGCTTTTTGGAGCCAAGACCCACTAGGGACTACTTATAAGCTACACAAAATTAAGTTTCATTTTTAGAAGTTAAATCAGTGCACATCAGTAGGCGTCCAATGTGAAAAAAAATCTGCACTAGAGCCAAACTGATACATATGCAAAAGTGCTGTTGCTGCCAATGACAGCTCTAATGCAAAAATACTGGAAACATTCAATATCTCCCTGTATTCAATGCAGAAGGGGGTGAGAAAAATAACTAAAAAGTACAGCATCTAAAAATCATCAGTGCCCCTTGGAACAGGAATAGCAATTTCAGAGTTGCATGAAATTCTATTAATTCTCCCAGTGGATCAGCTGTAAAAGATTATACAAAATACAGTATGTCCAACTTGTATTTGCTATGGCTAATCCTCTAACCTGATATTAAATCAATATGCTGCCAATGACAATGGGAAATGCAGTGCAACACAGGACATTAACAAAAAGAAAATATTTCCCTTTAGGGAAGGTCAGATGTTATGGAGGCTGGATAATGATAATTGTAGTGAACATGGTCAGGTTTCAGATTTGTTTTTAATACAGTATGGCTCTATCTGGAGCCAGGGTCTAAACACAGTATGACATTCTTCCCCTCTGTGTCACCGTTTACTTTTTTTTTTTTTTTATTTCAACATAATGTGAAAAATGGACATTTTTTCCATGGAGATTTATAGATAATTCTGATTTGCTTTGTTTACTTTAATGCTCTTTTTCTAATATTCTCCATTGAGAAATTCTTCAGAAATGTCCTGAATAAAAAAATAAGTTGATATATGGGTTATGTTTCTTCCCATTCTCCGATGTATCTGAAAAGACCATCATGTTTGGGCATTCTACCGATTCCATAGAAATTAAACATATATCAAACTTCAAGTCATCCTTAAAGCCAGTAGAAGCAATATTATTTTAAAAAAATGCAAATAATGTGTTGCTTGTTTTGAAAAGGGCGGAAGGGAAGATTTATAAAAGCTTCTGCTCTTTCTAGCCACATCTACAGTGTATTCTACCTAACAGAATTTAGTTAGCTACGCAGTTACAGGTGACATCAAAATGGCCTTAACAGCTACTCCAGTGGTCTATCTAGATGTGCATTTTCTGTTTCCAACAATCATCCACAGTGGGTGAAAAAGGCAAACTAGAAGAACAAGGCAGGCACACCATGAAGCTTTCCTAGTCAAACCTCTGGCTTTCAGAGATTTGTAGCTCAGGGGCTTCATTTTGCAATATTAGCTATTCATGGTGAAAACACTTTCAAATAGCATTGCTTCTCTTGAAGTCAGGAAATTATACATAATTTGTATGTTCTCAAACATAAAACTACCTGGTGAAACACTTGTAAAAAAAAAAAAAAATCAGTGTATATGTATTTTAGTTAACTTCACAGGTTAATTTTTGAGTATTAGCCATTTGCAACTGCCTACTGACTTAGTAACATAAGCAAAGTAAGACAAAACAGCTTGACTATGTCTACAGGTGACTCCAGAAACACATTTTCTGTAATATCTCAGATTGAATTTCTCCTTCATAGGTAAAGGCATATTGTGCAAGTCATTTTTCCACTAATACCTTCTGTGAAAAATAAAATAATTCTCTTGAATTTTAGCAGAAGATAAATAAAATAACATGAAGTAAAACTGTGATTTTACTTTATCCAGTGTTTGCAATATTTTTCTCCTGTGTATTTAGCCATAGATGGTAACAGTGCAGGAGACTCACTGCAATAAAGCCAGTAGTTTGCTTTGTTTTCACAGGGGAATTTGGTTTGTAATCATGCATTTTCTTATTAGTATCAATGGGATACTTGCAGCTTATTTTACATATATCTTTAAAAATACATAGCAACAAGACTGTGTCAATACAATACAGTCTTGATAGAAAAATACAACTATCAGGGTGCAACAAATTAATCCCTTAGATATTAATGGAAATCCAGCTTGGGGACAGTAAAGATTCAGACTCTAAAACCTTAAAAGAACATTACTACTACTCAAGAATATTGCAGTATCATGAAAGGCTATGGCTGTAACATATTTTGGCATAATTGGGCCATGACTTAAAAAGGTGAACTTATGTGAGGGGCATGGAAACATCTTTAGCCTTTTCTCTAGCACCCACACAGCATTTTGTTGTGACCCACCTCCCATCACCCTTCATTCTTCCTGCAGCTGCACACAGACTTCCAGCATTTAATCTGGAAGAAATCAACAAATATACATTGGGAAGGAACAGACCTATCACTTAATTTAAGCTCTCTGGGGAAATTTATTTTCTCTTCCTTTTAGATGTGCAGTTATACATCTGAATTAGAAAATATGTGCCCATTCTCATTTCTTTATTTTATCTGTGCATTTGTTTAATTATATTTTGTTACAGTTTATTATTTGCATTTCAGCAGTCCCCAGTAAGAAATAAACATTGGTTATTCTGGGTACTGTATACTGTCATTATCTCCTTTTTAAATGTACATATAGCTAAATATAATATTTTTGTTTCAGTAAGTATTTATGGAGAAGTAAGAAAAACATATATATAATACACAAAAGGAAATAAACCAAACTAGCAGCCCCTGGTTATACTGACAGCAAATAGGCTTATCTTATATTTGCTTAAAATTAGTGATTAGAGGCTATCCATTTGACTTTAGTATGAGTGGAAGACACAGACTCGCTTGTGTTTACTGGTCAGTTTTAAAGGATGACTCAGACTTGTAAAATAGAAGTATGTAGAGTTAGGAACCAAGTTCAATCCTGCAAGATTTTAGCACATTTCATTTTCAAAAGTCAAAAGTATTGACAAAGTTTTGCCCACATACCCAAAAGCACTCTCCCCATGGCAAGGTTTAGGATCCTCCTTACCATAACAAAGGTCAAAATCAGAGCTCCTAGTGCCCATACAGTACCCTAATCCTGTTCTATTATAAACCAGAACAGGCTCTATGATGTCATTTGGAGGCACCCAAGGTCTGTATTACAAATCCTCCAGATCCTGCACCTCACACAACTGCACATACACAAGGGGATCACAGCACAGATGTCTACCATCACGTCCATGCACAATGGAGCAGCCAGAGGCTTGCCTATGTATTCATGTGACAATCATACCCCTAAAATATGGGCAACCTCCGCCATGACATATGGCAGGTCATGCATGCACCCCAGTCCCAAGACCTAATGAGGATGTACACTTCATTTCACAAGCCGACATATACCCTTTCTGTTAAAGGACACATCCGTATTTTCACCATGCATGACCCTGGAGAAAAAAAGAGCAGTGTTGACCAAAACCACTCACGGAGCCTTTGTCCAGATTTCTGTGATTTTCTCTTTCAAAAGCAACTAAGAACTGGAGGCCGGGAATGGACTGTAGGCCAGATGATTTTTTCCAGAAAGTTATGTCTGCACCATTGCTAGCATAGCTGCAAGAAGAGAATGGGGAGGGATCTTCCTGCTCCACCTCCCCTTCGAATCCACACCTCTTTACTGAAAGGGATGTAAAATTCATCTGAACCAAACGAGAGCAAAGAGGAATTTACCCAGTGACAAGAGTCCTTCTGCCTCATGTACTAAACGCATCATGAGTTCCATGTAGTGCTTATGTGTCTCTTACAAAAGTCAGAAATGATATTGCAAGCAGGGACCATAATACAGAATTGTCCCTTTCCACACATCCTGTTAATGAGTTCAAACTGGTAGTCAAAGACCTAAAACTCCTTTCTGCAACTGTCAGTATCACAGTATGTAATTCATTTGTGGGCCTGGGGTAGCCCTCTCTCATTGCAGTAATAGCTAAATATGGAAATTATTTTATATGGCATTGATTAGGGCAACTACCAATATTGCACATAGATTATTGTAATTAAAAGAATACTTAGCTTTACCTACACTTGCGGGATTTCATTTTTTTTAGTGAAGTGGTTTTCTAATGTTGTGCTGATAGAGGCTGAATAAGTGGGGGAAAAAATTCCTTGATAGTATATGAAAGGATTCCCAGAGATCTGTGGAAACCATATAATGCAATGTGGGGACACACTGAAAAAATCCATAAGGACTTATATTCCACCTGTTTACCATGATACATGATTTGTTGTGATATGAAACCTCAAGATAAGGAGCAGTAAGTACAAAATCACAATCAGAGGAGGCAGAAAGAAATCTCTGGGTGGTTTGTGGGTTTTTTTTTGGTTGGTGTTTTTTTTTAATGGTGTTACCTGTAATTTTAGCTCTTCACTCCAGATGAGATTAGGGTGTTGGTGTTTTTTTTTTTGGTTTTTTTTTTTTAGGGGGTAGGTGTGGTGTGGTCTGTGTTGGTTTTTTTTTTTAAAAAAGGCAATGACTGAATTTCACATTCACATTTTCTGTAAAATAAAACTGAATGCATCCATGGCAAATTAATCCTGGTCATTTATCCTGAAGTAGTGCTGCACTCTCATATTCAATCACAAGATTAGCTAACCTGTTGATGCTGAATGCTTTGCTCATTAGGTTGCTGTCTAGAGACATTGAGTGCACACATTTGTCAAAAAAATTACTAAGAACTTTCCTGTACATGCATGCACAACTAAAACATTACATACTCTAACTGTATTTCTTCCTTTAGAAAAAAATACATTCTTTACAGATTGCAGCAGATCTATTAGAAAAATGCTAACTGCTGTAGAATTACCTTGGCTTATGATTAAAATATTTAGGATCCTAACTCTCAGAACCACAAAACGAAATCACAAATACACTTTCAGACCAGGAAGATACAGCAATTATTAGATTTTTTTTCCGTATTTCATTAGTAGATCTGAAAATACCACCGAGTGGATCACATACTTTTCATGTAACAACTCTGAAGTGCCATAAACTTTAATGAGATTTCTTAAGAAAGTAAAGTGAGCAGGATTTGGCTCTACTCTGTGATAGCCTTTTCTAAATAGAAAACAAATGATTTTATGTATTCACAGGAACGAGGAAGGAAAATACCGTGACAAATACATAAGAAATTAGTATCTGCACAATTGAGGCTTATCTAGAATGAGTGTAATATGACTGCATGATTTCCTGCACTATCATTTTGCTTCTGCATACTGTTGCAGAAGTTGCATATGGGGAACACATGATCACTAAATTAGTGGACAAAAAAATTCTTCATTCTAATATGAAACACTATCATCTTGGCTCCAAGCTACGTGCCAGTGTATACCTTAAATAATATTTGAATCAGACTGCACTGTACACACAATAGACATCGTGACTACCGAATGGGAAATCTGCAGAAAATTTGGTAATACCCTTTGAAGTCTGTTCTTTGAAGACAGTACTTTAAGTGAAATGAGCTTATTTATAAAAGAAGTGCTTTTTGTGAATGCGTTTATGGGAGACACATTTCAAACAGCTTTAAATATCATTTCCACCTTGGCACTCCAGCAATTTAAAATAACTATTTATTAAAGAAACGTTTCTCTGCTTAGTAAATGAGATAAAGTTAAACAGTAAGATACATTTCATTAGCCTGTAATAAAAAGAGCATTTAAGACAAACGTTGTTAAACACACCAATGTAATTTTCATCGAATTCTCTGCTGTGGTTTAATATACAATCTGTATTTTTATGTACTGTATCTGACAGCTACTAAATTCATTTGTTTGCTGTGGTTCCTTTAAAGCCTAAATTACTAGAAAGTTTCAATAAATTAGTTGATCCAAATAATCTTATGAACTGATTAAGCTAGAATGTTTATATTAATTTAGACAAATCTGCAACTGGCTCCTCTCCATCCCTTTAAGCTGATCTACAGAAAGGCCTACCTGGATGTTAGTCAGAAGGGTCTCTATGGAGGACAATCCATCAGGGAATAGAAAAGGAGATGGAAAACCCGGAGGTAGTGGTTGCCCATGCCCAGTTAGAGAAAGTTTGTCAAGGCTGTCTCTTGCGGTTGGTGTGGAGAGCGGGGTCTCATCTGTATGTGATTGAAACAAAAATATAGAACAAGTTACGCTTGTCTGTTTTTATTAGACCTCAGTAATGGCTTCCCTAGTGGTTTCCAGAACATTTATTGCAAATTGGTTCCTGCTATCAGGAGAAAATGCTTTCTGCTGAATTTTCTTTAATGAAAAAGCTGTGGAGATACAACAAGATAACATTAATGAGTAACTTTATAAGCCTTTTAAATGCAGTCTCTAATGAGACTGAGTTTACAGTGCCATAGAATCTTTTTAAAACAAATATTATCTCACATATACTTGTGATAATATATTCAGGCTGACTTTATGGGCACCTTCCCAATTATCTCATTTTAGTTTGTGTTCTATTTGGATTGACAATAGAATATTTTCTAGCATGACATATATTTTATATACGAGAAGTATTTGAATGCGAAGCTTCCCATACAATTAACCCTTCCCGCTCTTAATGGTTTCACTTACAGCACAGAAGATTCTGCAACACCGGAAAAAACTACAGCTCCTCAATGCATTTTTAATGAAGAAAGTACACCTGATTCCCACAATTGAAACATGCTCTGAACAATACATGAAATTAACAGGATGGTTACAATCACTGGCCTAATTTTTTTAAGCACGGACATCTTCTAACAATTAGTGCTAAACTCCTTAGTGGGATCTTTGTAACAATCAGATCTGATCAGTTCTGACATCACAACTGAAAAAAACTCCCACAGTTTGAAGGCTTCTAAGATTAAAGTTTCACAGATAATCTGTGAATGGATTATAAAGTAAGCGGAAAACAAAACCCCACAACAACCCTCCACCCCCTCAATTAATAGAAACTTCAATACCCTGGGTTTTGGGGAGCTTTTTTGTTCTTTTTTTTTTTGGTAAACTTTTAGATGTATTTTTAGACTACTGTTGACATAGAAATTTAGGTCAATTTCTTTGCACTAGATATTAATCTGAATTCTTCAAAAGGAAAACTATCTATACATGTATATATAGATACATATATCTATACATATCCTTCTTACCAAGGGCGCAGTCATTAACTGACACATAATGATGTATCTCAATACAATACAAGGACATCAGAATGTACTCTTGGTATTATGCAGATCTCTGAACAGCTATTTGACTACTGAGGAGTTTGTCAGACTTGTTCTTTTCCATGTGAGCTTTGATCATTATAAAATATATGTATTTTAGGGTATTTTAATTTTTTTGTCTTTCTGCACTTTATTTAATTATAGTTTCAATAATAGTTGTATGTCTCTATTTATTCTATTATGTACATTAGGAATAGCATTATATGAAAATTCTGGTCCTAGTTGCCAGAAAGGGCTCTCTCTTTGACTGTGGTGCAGTATTTTCTGAAGTGGACATAGTCTAGGACCAGGGAAATTGAAATCTGCAGCAATGAAGGGTTAGAGTCTAGGTTTTGACAACCCCAGGACCAGAAAACTGTAACTCAAATTCCCAGTTCATTCCAATAGTCCCTGTCCATGGTTACTCCAGAAGGAATCAACCTCCATCAACCATGTTCAAGAGCACATTTCTTGCTCCACCTCCTCACCAGCTCTGTCATGCTGGTCAGTACATACAGTGCTAGAGTAAAAGCCCCACCCACTATGTGCCTCCACAGAAATACCCAAACAGACATCTGTTTCTGGGCTGGTCCCACTTAGCTCTTTCTACTGCCAGTGAAGAGAAGCAAACACCAGCCTAAAGGTACTAATCCACCTGAACTTCCACAGGCAGCTACTGCAGGAGGAGACAAATCTTCCTCTAGAAGTGTCTTTCCACTGTAAGAGAAGCCTAAGCCAACTGGCTCCGATGCAAAGATCTGCTTTTGGTGAGATCAGTCCTACCATGGAAGCTGTTCTTCCTACTTCACTGTGGCTCGGGCTGCAAGTAAGATCCTATTTGTCACAATCTGTGCCACAATCACTGCTTCTCACAAAATCATCCATTCAAAAGCTTACCAAGGTAAACTTTGTGAAAGGAATTGATGTTGACCAGGGAAAGCTTCAGCCCATTCAGACTCATAAAAATTTTTTCAGCTATATTTAAGTTTTCCAGTCATGTCACAAAGTGCTGAGAAAAACTGGCTGTAGATTACTGAACTATTTCCTATCTATCTTATTGAGATTCTAAGCAGGCTCTGAAAAACGTACTGTAGAGGTATCTTCTGTCCTCATGCTACCCCACAGCAACATGGATCTCTCGGTAGTCATTTTGTAATAGCATACAAAAATTTGGCCCTAAATATTCTTTTCTTCTCAACTTTTAAAATATTACAGAAATATTCACCACTTCATTAGAAAAAATAAATTATGTATTCCTGGGTATTGCAAACTAACCTACTATTCTCAGATCATCCTGCTACTTCATCTTCTCAAATCCTATTCTAGTATGAAAAATCATTACCAAATGTTTTCTTCCAAACTGCTGTCAGATTCGTTATGCTTTCATTAATCAAAAGAAACAACCCAAAACTTAAACAAAACTGGTCAGACAGTAGATTGATAAACACTACACAATATTACTGCATAGCTGAAAACTCTTTTTTCCCTCTGCTGCAAATATGGCTTTCCCAAACGATTCCTATCCAACATTAAGGAAAAAAAAAAATTACAAATCCTCTTCTGTATATAATACACAAACACTGAGTTTTTGGGCTAAAGACTTTCCATCAGTGGTTCCAGTGAAGGTGTTGGACTTGCACGGTATAACAAGAAAGACTCTAATCACTAGTATGCATGCTGGAGCTGATGCATGTAAATGAGAAAGTAAACGAAAAAAAAGACATAATTTTCCCCAAGGTTTATGAGAGAAATGGACCAGTGACCTCTCATACTTTCTAAGACAACTTAGAATCTACTAATATTCTAGGTCTCAAATTATCAAACTATTTTAAAATATACTACACAAAACTGTCCCACTTTAAAATTCCATTAGCCTTAATTCACTTTAAAAATTATGCTCCTCCATGCATGTGTTGAGTTACAGAAAGCTCCCAACACAGCTCTTGTAATAGAATTTAAACAAGGGATTACTTTTTTTACTCTAGTATTAGTTCAGAATTAAATCTGTGTTAAGTTTTCTATACTTTGTGCATGCTCAAAACATGTTGTGAAGTTTGCAAAGATTTCCCTAACAATGTGTGGCATGGTTTTGCAATAGGCAAAGTAACCCAAAGAAAGGTTAGAATGGTATGAACTCAAAGTAACATCCAAACTCTTATGTTACAATAAATAACAGAAACAAATTTACACTAAAGGGTAAGACTAGAGCGCTGAACTTACTGTGAACTTATTTTAATGAAACGTCAACTCAGAAAAATAGTCAGACTAATGTGACTTTGTTTTCTTGATGTCCCATGTGAAATAAACTTTGAGTGTGAGTATGTTTGAAACAGAGCAAATGTACATATCATACACAGGAAACATGGATATTTGTGGATGTGAGATAAGGGATGATTGAGGGAATCTTGAAAAAAATGCATTTTTAAGAAAAACCACACTGTAAACACAGCCAATTAAAACATAACCACATATCTTAGTAGCAAAATAATATGACTGTTCTCCATTAAAGCATTTAAAAATCTTCCATTCCTGCAGATGTCCTCTTTTCTCAATATGATAACTTTGTTTCCAAATAATCATTAGCCTAACATCTTTTAAACTCCTGCAAAGGAACTACTAATGTTCCTCTTAACCTACTAGCAAAGCATTGCTGTTAAAATTATAAGGCCTTGCAAGGAAACAAAGATTTGGCATTTTCAGTCTAAAAGCATGAAAGGAAGCATTCGAAGACAAGTCATGGCAAGAGGGTAAAGAGGGTCAATCTGCATCTCCAATGTTGGAGTTGGGAGCAGAACAGTGTAAAGAAAGGGGGGAAAAAAAATAAAGAACAAGGCAGAACAAAGAAATGTCCAGGCCTGCCTGGATTTGTGCTGGGAAATGAGTTGTTATAAATTAGCAAATAAACAAGGATAGGACAAGCTATTACCCAAGCCACTACAGTATCTGAGCAGAGATGAATATGTGCCTTGACATATGAACTAAATCACCATAACAGGCAAATCTGAATGCAACACGTATCTTTAAAATATTTGTAAATGTTACATCCACTCCATCCATTGTTCCTCAATTTCCAAAATTCACCTGTTTTTGTTCAACCCAGATTTTATCTGCAAACAGCAGCTGGTTTGGGCCAAACACAACGGACATTTTTCACTGTATTTGGTTTGTTGCCATTCTATTTTATTCTTTCACCAGATAACATGGAAACAGACATCCTGGAAGCTGTGACAGCTATTTAAACAATAATAGATGAATAGAGGTAGCCATTCTCTTGTCTTTGTTCCTAAAAGCAAGTAGGAGAAGTTCAGACCAGTCACCAATCAAACTGGAGAATATTGATATCACCAGGATTTGAAAGCAAGCGATAATAGCAGGCTCTACAATATACTATACAGATTACTGCCTTTCTGTAATCTTTTAATGTTTTTCGTAGTGCATGTTGATGTTGTTTTGTTCTCTGTAACATATTTCACATGCACTTGTTCCTAAAACAGGCTCATTCTTACCATTTGAATGATGAAAGAGGAGCATGTTTTCACTTTTTACTATCATAAATCTGGTGCATACATTTTTGTTGAAACATTCTATTCCATTTGGCTTAATATGATTTTAGTTTATATTACCAAACAGCCTTTAGTACAAAGTTTTACATTTCACCTTCCTCAGAGTTAGAGATTTCAGGTGTGATAAGCTCTTTTATTTTAATTAATCTGTAATTGTTGGCTTATATTAAAACAAAAGAACATGGGGTCCCATATCCTCAACTGAAATGTTTACCAACTTTAAGCAGATTCCAAAAAAAAAAAAAAAAAAAAAAAAGCCTCTTGCTCAATTCCCATATCATTTGGCTGCTTTATAGATTTGGTCATTCAAGATTCACCCTGCACATGACTAGGGGCAATGTGAGGTGACTGTGAAGGATG